TAAGTGTTGGCCTAGCTCGTGTCCTCTTCCTCAAGTGCTCTGATTTACAACCTCTCTCTAGGCTTTACAACCGATGCCACTCCTCTTAGAATCAACCCCGTCTCTCACCAACCATTCCTCTCGGTATACAAGTGTAATACAATGTATCACTCACAATAATGCTCAATTACAATAAAATATTCTCTAATTGGATGAGAACTCAATGTAAGCTCAATCTCACAAATCATAATCTCACAACCCAATATGATGTATGAAATCCTATAAGCTCAAATAGGGTGTGTGTGTGTGTGTGTGATAAAATGAGTATAAACGAAATCAAACTCATTTTACAAACTAGCAATAATGATATATGAAAATTAAAACGAATTGCTAGAGAATAGAGTTAGAGAAACTTCTCTATTAAACACAATAGAGGTTGGAGATAATTGAGGATGAATTCCCTAATTGAAAGATCAAGCCATCTCTTTGTAAACATAAACTTAAGCACTTGAACAAACTTTAAAACTCTTTTTAAACTCTTGTTAAAACCCACTTCAAAGTTCTATTACTGATGAGAAAGAAAGGGGTTTATATAGGAAGAGAAAACAGCAGCCAAAACCCTAAGAAAATCAGCAAAATCTTCCAAAAACCAAGAAACAGATTCTGTACAAAACTAGCTGTTTGACAGCCTGTCAGTCGACTAACGGGAAGCATCAGTCAACTGATAAGCTGAACGTTGTATTCAAATTCGAGCTTATCAGTCGACTGGTCAGTCGATGGAAACACAACAGAGAGCAAAATAAACATTCCAGGCGTTTTCTTCAATCAACTGATCTGTCGACTGATAACAGGTTATCAGCCTGAAATAATTTTTAAGTTGAGTTTCAAGGCTCTGTTAAAAATAGCAAATAAATTCTAAAAAGTATAAAACTTTGGGAAAAGTTTATAAACATGAATATAAACATGTTAGAAAAAGAATTATTTAAATAGCTCTTACCATTTATGAAAACACAGGAAAATTCAACAATGTTAAAATACATGTATTTCAAACATGTTATTTTTGCCATTTTTAGATCAAATCAGGTTTTGAAAACTTGTGTAAACTTTTTATGGACTTAACAAATGATGTTAACATGGTTGATATAGTCCAAAACATATTTGAATGTAATTTGCATAAAAACACCTATTTTAATAAAAATTCACAAATGCAGTGTGTGTGCAATCTTGAGCTTATAGAATCAACATACACAATATTATCATATACTAAGTATACCCAAGCAATCTGATCTTCATTGAAGCTTGTCTTGGTGAACATGGAAGAAGTTTGAACTGGATTCTTGACTTGAATTACATTGTTTCACTCCACTATACCTCCATCCTCCATTGGATATGACCGTTGAAGCGCAATTCCATCCAACCTCCAACTCATTGTTTGCCTAGAATAAATACGAAAACCCAACCACTAGACAAACAACATTAGTTATAAACTATTTGTTAAACATCATCAAAACAAGAAGACCAACATCAGGGACCAAAGCTTTCAACGTTGTGTCAGGACCAAGAGCATGACAAAGGACCAATGCAATCAGTCGACTGAGAGAAGGATTAATTAGTCGACTACCGAGGCACTAATCGACTACCAAGAGCATGACTGTTATGAAGACTGGAGGACTGATGTGCAAAACTAAGGGATATAATTGCAAACTCTTTTAACTACAAGGGTTCTCTTGTAAATGTGATGTCCAGCTCAACTCAAACTGTTAATAACTGTACATGTTTTCTGTTTTGTAAGCTTTCAGTTGTGTACTGTTTGTGCACGTGCACAAACATCAGTTCATTGAGTCTGTTTGTATAAATTGGGAACTGGTACACAATTAAAGGCATGAATGAATGAATAAGAATTCTCATCTCCTCCTAAATTCTATTCTCTACTCATCTCTTCTCTCAATCAACTCTGTTTTCTTCTTCCTATCTCCTTCTTGAGCTTGTTCGGGTTTCGCCATGGCCAGAAACAGCACCACAAGAGGGAATCGGGGTACTAGAGCCTCACAACAAGGGAGTCACAAGATGAACTCTAATTAGGGTTTTCTTGTGGAGCCATACTTGCAGTTGAAGGAGGAAATTGAGGAAGCGGAGGAGTAAGGAGGTGGCTATGGGATTAGCGTCTGGAGAACTCTAGTCAGGGATTTGGGGAGAGCGATTTATTTCGAGAGAAGTGAGAAGGGTATTTTGGGAATTAAAAAATATTAATGAAATATAGTATAACGACATGTTGTACACGAAGAAGTGGGTTTAATAACAAGTCACTTGATGTATTATGGGTTTAAGGGTAATTCTAGAAGTGATTGGATTTACAAATAAGTCTTGGTAGAACTTTGGGTTAAAAAGCAAAAGCCCCGTATAAAAACATCGGGTGAAAACAAATTCGCGTGTATGGTAGGTACTAATATGCTAGCTTTAAATAATTTTGGATGTGTAAATGTTGCCAAAAAAAGAGTAAGGGCATAATAAATGCCAAATAAGTGAAACTACAAGATATTCAAGTGCTATTAGGCCAAACGAAGATTAAAACCATTGCTAACTTTCAAGCTTGGCCGACCAAAACAGGCCCACCAAAACAGGCCCACCAAAGCCCATTTATACCGCCCAAATTCCTGCCACATCGTCAGAAAAACTTTTTCAGCTCGGTGATGGGTTTAACTTTCTAACCCTTTTTCAACCGCCAAAATTCGATTCCCTCGTGCGCGGGAACAACGCGACGACACACCAAACCTTCATCTTCAAGAAATCTTTTTCCTCTCTCTCTCTCTCTCTCTCTCTGAGTATCCAAGATATAACAAAAGCAAAAGCAAGAATAAAGCTCAAAAAAGAAAGGAAAAAAAATTCCCTCTCATCAAGAAAGCAATCCCCTCTCTCCTTCAATCTTTCCACTTTCCCAAAACCAAAAGAAAAGAATCCAAACCCCAAAATCATGAAAAAATCATGAGCTCCTCTCCTCCAAGATCCATCCGAAAACTCGCCGTCGAGATCATCGACGCCCGGGATCTTCTCCCCAAAGACGGCCAGGGAACCTCTAGTCCCTACGTGGTCGTCGAATTCGACGGGCAGCGCAAGCGAACCCGCACGCAAGCCCGGACCCTCA